CACAGAGAAACCCTGTCTCAAAAAAAACCAAAGAAAGAGAGAGAGAGAGAATTCCCACAGGAGCCAGTCATGCCTCGTGGCAGAATCCTGACATCAAGTTCCAAGCCAGTCTGGAATACATGTGGGGTTCTGGATCAGCTTGAGTTCACAGTTAAACCTTGTATCAAAAATCTAAAACCCACCAAAACAAAAAGAATTAGAGTTTGTGAGTACTCAACGGACTAGGTTATAATGAGCATGTGTAAGCAACCTGTGCTGAGTAGCCAGAGCTGCTGGTGGCCACGGCGACAGGAAAGGCACAGGTTCTACTTTTCTGTCTCTGAGTCAGTTTGCGCTGCTCTGGCTCTGCTCTAGTTCAAGATCCTCATCCTTCATGGTGCTTGTATTCATGTCGTTGTTAACCGCTTTCTTAATTTTTTTTCTGTGTACATCATTGACGATTGAACCCAGGTCCTCACAGATCTCACAAGTGCTTGACAAGTGCTCTGTATTGAGCTCCATTCCCAGCTCCGTAACGGATTTTAAAGACATGCAGCCCATGCCTCTCTCTGTCCGTCTGTCCGTCCGTCCGTCCGTCCGTCCGTCCGTCCGTCCTTCAGTGTGTGTGTGTGTGAGTGTGTAGGGCAGAGGTCCGCGTGGGTGTCTGCCTCTGTCACGTCTACTGTAGTGTTTTGAGTGGGTCTCTCACTGAACCTGGAGCACTGGGATCCACTCGTCTCCCCTCCCAGTGTTAAGATTATAGACTGTCTTAGGGTTTCTGTTGCTGTGAAAAAACACCATGGCCATGACAGCTCTTATAAGAAAAACATTCAATTGGGGTGGCTTACATTTTCCCTTATCATGCAGGGACATGGTGGTGTGCAGGTAGACATGGTGCTGGAGAAGGAGCTGAGAGTTCTACATCTTGATCCACAGGCAGCAGGAAGTGACCTGAGACACTAGGCGTGGCTTGAGCATATACAAGCCCTCAATGCCTGCCTCCGCAGTGACATACTTCCTCTAACAAGGCCACACCTGCCCCAAGAAAAGTCACACCTTCTAACAGTGCCACTCCCTTTGAGCATATGGGATGAATTACATTCAAACTAGCACACAGACTCAAGCTGTCACAGCTGACTCTCAGGTGGGAACTCACACCTGTGTGACAGGTACTTTACTGACTGCCACCTCCCTAGTCCAAGAGGTTTTAACGACACAAGCTATAATTAGCCATGTGTTGGTGGCACCTGTAATCCCAGCACTTGGGAGGTAGAGGTGGAGGGCTCAGTCTTCCAAGGCTACTCTATAGTGAATGTAAGCTTGGCTTGGGCTTCATGAGACTGTCTCAAACAACAACAAACAGAAAGAGAATTAAGCATTTAGAAGGGCTGAGTCTGCCCTGGCATGTGGGCACTCTGGATGGGGGTCAAATCTTACTGAGCTTCCCCTCCCATCTTTCCCTCCTCCCCCCCAGGAGGCACTTTTGTAAATATCTAGAGAATGCTGTAGAGGAGGAGCTGTATGCTAGCCCACACCACTGTGCGAGCATACCTGCTGTGGATGGTGGTAACCCAGGGAAGACAGCAAATGGGAGGACACCCTCTGTCTCATGACCAGTCAGCCTCCTTTCCAGACTGTTTCCGCTGTCTCTGTTTCCACCTGCCCATCCTACAGCCAGTGTCCTTCACACTCACTCTGTTCCCTGGCAGCAGCCCCAGTTTTGATCAGTGGTCTCTCGCTCGGCACTCAGCCAGGACACCTGATAGTGTTCTTACCTGTTGCTAATATTTTAAAAAGATGTCTAATGAAACCTTTTCCCTGGCTTGTACAGTGTGGCTCAGTATCCATCTTATCCTCTTCTGTTTGCCGTATGCAAATGCTTTGTTTATGTTCCTCTTCAGCTCCTCCTGCAGCTGACAGCCACTACCAGGAGTCACCTCCTTGCTTGCAAACCTCTTGTGGTTTCCTGTTGCTTAGAGCAATGACCTGCAGGGTAATCTCTGGGCTGCACTGGCTGTTTCTCTGGGGTTTTGTTTTAAGGTTAATTTGGGGGCAGGAGATGGTTTAGAGGTTAGGAATACTCCGCTACTCTTACAGAAGACCTGGGTTCAGTTCCCAGCACCCACAGTAGCAGCTTACAACCACCTGTAACTCCAGCTCCTGGGATCTGATGTTCCCTTCCTACTCTGCGGCTCCTTCCTGCATGTGCACTCGGGCACATACACACACACACACACACACAGAAAATATTTAAAAATTGTAAAGGTTTGTTTTTATTTTCTGTATGTGAGTACTTGCGTGTATGAATGTGTACCACATATGTGCACGATGCCTGAGGCCAGAGAGGACGTTAGAGCCCTAGAACTGGAGTTCCGGGTGGTGAGCATCAGCAATAGAGTCATCATGAAGGGCGAGCGCCCCAGTTAGAGTGTTAGCTCTCGGTATGACACTCTGCCCCTCCCGTGCTCACCGTCCTTCTGGGGTCTTGGTATTCTGGACCTTTTTCTCCCGAGAGGTCTTCACTTGGTTTCCCCCTTAGAGCCAGATCTTTAGTGAGGTCCTTCCGAGTCCTTATGGGATGGAGTTCTTAGCTGCTTTCCTCCGTCGTAATTCCGAGCCCCTTGCCCCAATTCATTACTTGCGGACTGTCTTTGGTACCGGTGAATTCTTTATTGTTGAGACCCAAGGGTTGGATATACTTTCTCTTATTTTTTCTACACCCCTTTTGCACGTCCTTAATCTCATTAATTCTTCCGTCCTATGCCATCCCTGGACTCAGGAGGGTCACAAATGAGGGCGTGGACATAGCTGCGAATTTTCTGCTTCTAGGCCTACTTCCAGTAGGTAGTATGGGATGGGCTTTCGTGGGCAATGAAGTTCCCCTGTGTAACCTTCAGGTGCTGTTTCACAGTGATGGTGACTTCCTGACGCCTGGAGTTTCACTGGTTAATCTTCAATGTTTTGCTAACAATCTGATAACATGTCTGCAGAATATCTTGCTCACAGGTGCCAATATTGCTCTGTTGTATGAGGTAGCTAAGATATCGGCTGGCCGGTCACCTTGGTCACATTGTGAGACTAGGTTTGTTCCTTGTTAGGATGTGCCTGGAAATCCTCTCTGACTTGGTGAACTGAGCCCCACCATGTTTCCCATGCAGGGAACAGCAGTTAGGCTTGGGGTCTCCATACACAGATGTTCAGGAGGCAGTTGGGGGTAGCAGAAAGGAGTTTACACTAAAGTGCTGGCTCTATCCCCATGCCTGTTCCTCAGGATTTCCCTCCGCAGTCCCCAGCTGACCTGACATCTCATGTTTCCTAGACTGGAGGTGGGAGCTTACGGGTGGGTGGGGCTGTATAAAAGCAGGTCCCGTTATTGAGTTTCCTTGCTCATAAGGTTGAGTCGCTTCAGATTCTTGCTACTTTTGAAAAGCAGTATCCAGTGTTTTAAAACAAAGCCTTTTCTTGTCCTTTTTGGAAGCTCTGATGTTCTGAGCCTCCTGCTGGGCGGTCTTTGTTTTTATTACAGTATAATGTGGTGCACCGCTCTCACATGTATGTTTGTTTATTTTTGGTTGCTGTTTTGAGACGGTCTCGCTGTGTCCTCCGACTGTCCTGTAATTCATAGTGATCTGGCTGCCCCGGGCTCCTGGGCACTGGGGTCAAGGGCGTGTGCTCCTGTGGGCTCATGTGCCACACTTCTAACAATCTTCATTCACACTGTCCTCCCTCTCACTACTTTTGCTGCCGTATAGATCAACCTCGAAGGCTTGCGTCTCTGCTCCGCACACTGGGCACCTTCTCGGCAGGGACTCAGCTGGGACTGTGGTCTCCACAGCACGGAAGCTGTGGGGATTTTCCATGCTCATTTTGGAGTACTCCTTCTGTTCTGGTTGATCATCTATATTGTGTTAAATGCAAGAGGAGAGAACCTGGCGGTGGTGGCGCACGCCTTTAATCCCAGTACTCGGGAGGCAGACGCAGGCGGATCTCTGTGAGTTCGAGGCCAGCCTGGTCTACAAGAGCTAGTTCCAGGACAGGCTCCAAAAGCTACAGAGAAACCCTGTCTCGAAAAACAAAAACAAAAAATTCAAGAGGAGAAATTATAGTATAGTTTCCATTATTTTGGTCCTGACCATTGACTCAAATTTAAGGGTAGGGCATACATTCTCCTCTGAATGAAAGACTTGTCAAAGGATTTGCAGACAGCCGTTTTGTTTTTGTTTCCCCTTATGGTGCTGATGATCAAAATATGGTTCCCTGCTTTCCTATTCTCCACTGCTGGGTGCTGCTCCAACACCTGTGGGTGCTAAAATCTAAATGACCATTTAAAGAATGGTAGCGCCCCCTGGTGTCCATGTACAGTCCTGCAGACATCTCAATAGATTTTGTGGTTTTGTTTTGTTTTTGTTTCTGAGACAGGGTTTCTCTGTGTAGCTCTGGCTGTCTTGGAACTCACTTTGTAGGTCAGGCTGTCCTGGAACTCACTGAGATTTACCTGCCTCTGCCTCCCAAGTGCTGGGATTAAAGGCGTGCGTAGCCACTGCCAGGCCAATAGGTACTTCTTGAAGTGTGGTTTTTCCTAACTATAGTAGATAAGAACTTAAGTCATTTTAGGATTACAGCTCTAATAAAGGAATATGATACTTTATTTATTTAGTTATTTGAGACAAAGTCTACAACTTGCTGTGTAGACCAAGCAGGCCTAGCACTCACAGAGAGCTGTCTGCTCTGGGACTGACAGGGTGCACCAGCGCACCTGCTGGATGTCTTACCTCTTGGATGCATTTCCTAGGGCTGGAGAGGCTGCTCAGTGATGAAGGGTTTATAGTGCTCTTCCCAAGGATCCCATGTCAGGTGGCAGACCTCCGTAATTCCAGCTCCAGAGGACCCTACCCCCTCTTCTGGCACCTGTGGGCACCCCACCCCCCTCAACACACACACACACACACACACACACACACACACACACACACAAATGAAAGTAAATAGTTTTTAGAAAGCATTTCTTGAATTTGATTTATTTTTCTGTCTTTTGTCCTTTAGGAAGCGTTATTTAATGAAAAGTTCATGCTTGCAGAGTAAAAATGGCGGGCTTCCTAGATAACTTCCGATGGCCCGAGTGTGAGTGCATTGACTGGAGCGAGAGGAGAAACGCCGTGGCCTCTGTGGTCGCAGGCATATTGGTAAGTGAGGCAGATGTATTGGGGACACGATGCCTTTGCGTTCATCTTCGAAATGAATGTCAGTCCAGGGCTGCTTCACCTCACTGCTGCTGAGGATGGTCATGGTATTACGTCGCCTGCTGGGGCTTCATTTTGTTTGTCGGGGGGGGGGGCGGCTATTATGTAGTCCAGGCTTGCCTTGCGCATCTATCCTCCTCTGCCTTGCAGCTGTTGGGGTTGCAGGGTTTGGTGCAGTGTGGTTAGTGTTGCTAGGCAGGCACCTTTTCAGCTGAGCTGAGTCCCAGCCCACCATGCATGGGTCCATTTGATCTGAGAATGGTTTAGATTTGGCGTCTTTTCTTCGGCTGCAGCATCTGTCACAGCCTCAGAACCTGGTGTCACAGTCACTGTGACTGTGTAGGCAGCGGTGACACCTTATGCTTTGTACGGACTGGTGCCTCTGCAGTAAAGACCCAGAAAGAAGTCTTCTCTTGTTTTGTTCTGGGACAGGGTCTCATGTAGCCCAGGTTGGCCTCAAGCTCACTGTGTATCCTAGGCTGGCCTTAAGAACTAGGATCCCAGGTGTGAACGACAGAGTGGGCTTGCTTACCTTTCTTTCTGTTCTGCTTTACTTTTTTTTTTTTTGCAGAAAATGTCAAGACTTTAAAAGAAAATGGTTGAGGAGGGAGGGGAGATGGGGAGGAGCTGGGAGGAGAGGAGGGAGGGGAAATGTTGGTCAGAATTTAAAACAAGACATAAACAGCAGCAGCAGCAGCAGAGTGATGGCGCCAGTGCCTCTCACTTCACACCGCTATCCTTTGTCTCTCGTTCATTTGGGCTGAGGACTCAGCCGCTCCTGCGCCTGCTCCGCTTCCTGAATACCCGACTTGTTTATTCTGTTGTTTTCTAAATCATGACCCGAACAGTTTTACTTTATATCTGTGAACCATTTCCTGCCTCTGAGGTAGAGTAAGTAGAAAAGGGGCCAATTACTAGATACTGATTTATTGATTTATTCAGTGATTAAAGCTCTGCTTGAAATGCATGTTTGCCAAACATGACTTCACTTGCTACCTGGAACAGAATGACCTGGAGGAAGAGCTGAGAAATGGGTCATTGCCCTTAACAACCTCCTGACTGGCTTGTAGACTTCTGTAAATCTCGCTTGCTCGCCTGCTCACCCTGTGTTTAGAGCCTAAAGTAAGAGTGCAGACAGGGCCTGGATCAAGGCCTTCCTGGAGCTGTCCTGGCTTTCATCCGTGGTGACATCTCCTCTTCCACTCCCATGGTGTCGGAGTGCTTATTCAAGAAAGTCTCCTGTAACACCTACTGCAAACACCTACAAAACAGATTGCAGCATCCTTTATATTTTTGCAGTGTTTATCCCCCTTTCCCTGCTTGCTTTGGAGGCAAGGTCTTGGTATATAGATAGCTGAGGCTGGTCTCAAATTTGAGGTCTTCCTGCCTTTACCTCCCAAGGGTTGGAATTACAAGCATGTACCATCTTGCCTAGCTTCTTTCTTTCTCTCTCTTTTTTCCTCTCTCATTTCCTTCCTTTCCTTTTCTTTTGTTTTCTTTTTCTTTTTTTTTGGACCAGGTCTCACTGGGGCTCTGCTCCCCTGGAACTCGCCAAGCCCAGGCTGGCCTTGAACTTGAAATGCAGCTTCTGTGTACTGGGATGATAGTCATGAGCCACCAAGCCCAGTCTTTCTCTTTCCTTTGCTTTAGCTTTTTTTCATCATATGTATTTATGTGTGTGTGTGGGGGGGGTAACTGTGGCACTTGTCTGCAGGTCAAAGGATAACTTTGGGAACTGGTTCTCTTCTCGTACCATGTGTATCCCTGGGGTGGGCCTCAGGGCCTCAGGGCCAAAGGCACACGTTTACCTGCTGAGCCGTTTGGCCTCTTTTTCTTTTCTCCACTCCTTTCCACACAAGATCTCATATGTCCCATATGCATGTACGAGCTCTGCCCGCTGAACCGCATCCCAGGCAGGAAAACCTATATTTAACTGTTATTAATAAAAGAGTTTGGAGCATTTCTATAGATGTTTTAAAACGAATTTGAACTCTCTTAAGCATTTAGATTATGTAATTCTCTTATTTTGTGGTTTGAGACAAGGGCTCTCACACCTGTCCTTCATTTCTCTGGACAGTCTTTGCACCTGTCTGTTTAGGTGTGCTCAGCTTGGCTGACATGGAAACCTTACATTTTATATACTCATGTTCAGTTAGCTACAGGGTGCTTAATTAAACCAAATAAACTAAAACAATAGCTGGCTTTTATAGTCTGGGAGCTGTGGCAACTGGGTGCTGGTCAGTGAGCAGCCGAATAGAGCAGCCTGCTGTGGGGCAGAACTGCATGGGAGCCAGGGAGCACCTGCTGGCTAAGGAGGCTGCTGGCTGATTAAGGTGGATCTTGGCTGGTTAAGGAGGCTACTCATGAGGTGGAGAGAGGAAACAAGCCATTCCTGGTGAGACTTTTCTCACCGTCATAGGTAAAGAGCAGGTAGACCAAGGATGCTCACCTTTGTAACCTAGCATTCCAAACACAAAGCAGCACTTGCCCCACTTGTACTTGGGGAGGTGGGCCGCTACAGAGCGACGCTGTGAGCTTGTGTCCTCCACTTGTGCTTGGGGAGGTAGGGGCCGCTACAGAGCGACGCTGCGAGCTTGTGTCCTGCTTTCTTGGGCTCTCTCTCAGTTTTTTACAGGTTGGTGGATAATGATCGATGCTGCGGTGGTCTATCCTAAGCCTGAGCAGTTGAACCACGCTTTTCACACATGTGGTGTGTTTTCCACACTGGCTTTCTTCATGTAAGTGTGAAATGTTCTCAATTCAGCATTGCCTTTTGAAAAAAATAGTCTTCCTAACCTTTAATTTAAAAAACAACTTCTGGACTTTATTGATGCATTTTTTTTCTACTTTTTTTGAGGTTTTTATTTTTATTTTTAATTTTTTTATGTGTGAGTGTTCTGTCTGCATGTGCAACTGCATGCTAGAAGAGGGCATCGGGTCCCATTACAAATGGGTGGGTTCATTTCCGTGCGGGTGCTGGAAATGAACTCAGGACCTCTGGAAGAGCAGCTGACCCATCACCCCAGCCCTGATGGATTCTTTAGCATGATGGATTTATTTCCCCAACCCCCCTTATTTTTCAAATCAGGGTTCCTCTGTGTGATCATCCTGGCTGTTCTGGAACTCCCAGAGATCCACCTGCTTCTGCCTCCCAAGTGTTGGGATTAAATGTGTGCTCTGCCACACCTGGCCTAACAGTTTTATTTTATTATGTGTTTAGTTATTGATTCGTTCATTTATTTTGAGATAGGATCTTTCTAACCTTATTGAAGCTTGCTTTGTGGACTCAAAAGGTTATATCATGAAGGCTAAAGCTGCTGACTCCCCATAAAGTGGCCATAAGCAGCCCTTCTATTAGCAAACCGGTCCTCCCTCCTCGCCCTCTCTCTCAGTTTAACCCGCAGCCTTATTCATACTAAACATACTCTCTGACACTAAGCTATACCCAGTTTCTATTGGTCTTTTCAATATTTTTAAAAATTATTTTTATTTTATGTGTACAGGTGTTTTGCATACATGTATGTAGGTATGCCACATACATGCAGTATCCATAGAGGCCAGCAGAGGGCACTGGATCCTCTGGAGCTAGCATGTGGGTACTGGGACTTGAACCTGGTGTTTTAGCCAGTGCTCTCAACTACTGAGCCATCTCCAGCCCACCTGTTTAGTTCTTCATTATAATGGAAACTTGAGAATGGGATAACTAACCCTGAGCCATCTATATATACTTGTATGAAGTAGGTAATAAAGCGAGTAACTAAGTGTGGTGGCTCACACCTTTAATCCCAGTATTTGGGAGACAAAGCAGGTGGATAGATCTCTGTGAATTGGAGGCCAGCTTGGTCTATATTAACAGGGCTGCAATAGTGGGACCCGTCTCCAAAGAAAGAAAGAAGAGGAGGAGGGAGGAGGTTAGCTGCCGTTTCCTAGTCTCTGGGACAGGTGATAAACTAAGTGTGTTTCTGGGTGTGCTTTAGGGGAAACAAAAAGAATAATATTTCTATGCACTTGGGTTTCTGTTTTGTTAACTACCTAGCTGTCAAATATTGGCCCTAGTTAGGAAATAGTCATTTTTCTTCTAAATTATGTGCAATTCCTGTGTATGTTTTACTGCCATGAGAGCTCATTGACTGGTTTTGTGTCGTTCTAGGATAAATGCCGTATCCAATGCGCAGGTGAGAGGTGACAGCTATGAGAGCGGCTGTTTGGGCCGGACAGGTAAGGTGCTCCTCTGGAAGGGAGGAATGCTCACCGAACGCAAACGAGTCTGGAGAGAAGTCAGAGCCTCCTCAGGAGTCTTTCCCGTCTTTAGTTTTATGTGTGTGAGTGCTTTGCCCGAATGTATGCAAGTGCCCTGTGTACTATACCTGGTGGCAAGCAGGCCAGGAAAGGATGTCAGATCCCCTGAAACTGAGGTAGGGACAGTTGTGAGCTGCCACGTGGTGCTGGGAACGGAACCTGGGTCTTCTGCAAGAGCAGCAAGTCCACTCAGCAGCCGCTCCATCTCTCCAGCCCTGCACCTTCATTTTTAAGACAGGATCGTGGCACTCATCGTTGTGGTTGGCAGTGGGCTCCAAGGATCTGCCTGTTTCCTTCTCCCCTGTGCTGGGGCGCACTCGGTACTGCTGCACTTGGGGTTTATTACTGTGTGGGTGCTGGAGATCTTGTCCACAAGTCCTCGTGCCTGTGCGGCAAGCCATCCACTGAGCCCTTGTTTAGAACCCATGGAGTGGTACCACCACACAGGGCGAGTTTCTCATCTCATTTAGCCAGTCTAGAAACTCCTGTGCGGACATGCAGGATGCATTTTCGGGGAGTCTTCAGTCTCATCAGACTGGCAGTCAAGATTGTCATCACTCCTGCTTTCTAAAAATGGGTTGAGTTCACTTGAACGTCTGGAACCCTGGGCTGAAGAGACTCTTGTGCCCTTGAACTCCACAAGAGCATGTAGTGCAGGGCATCTTCCTTATAGCCGTAGAGCAGTCAGACTGTCCCTAAGGGCAGCTGCTATGTGAAGGTTTGGGTGTGCTGTTAGAAGCAGACTGACTCAGGGGACCCTGGGCTAAAACCACCCCTGTTTGCTGGAGGTGACCATCTGATACAGCAATTATTTAATTATGTGTACAGAAAGTGACCTTTCCTTTTTTATTTTTTATTTTATTTTATTGATATTTATTGAGCTCTACATTTTTCTCATCTCCCCTTCCTGCCTCCCCCCTTCAATCCTCCCCCAAGGTCCCCATGCTCCCAATTTACTCAGGAGATCTTGTCTTTTTCTACTTTCTACTTCCCATGTAGATTAGATCTATGTAAGTCTCTCTTAGTGTCCACATTGTTGTCTAAGTTCTCTGGGACTGTGGTTTGTAGGCTGACTTTCTTTGCTCTATGTTTAAAAACCACCTATGAGTGAGTACATGTGATAATTGTCTTTCTGTGTCTGGGTTACCTCACTCAAAATCATGTTTTCTAGCTCCATCCATTTTCCTGCAAAAGTCAAGCTGTCACTATTTTTTCTGCTGTGTAGTACTCCATTGTGTAAATGTACCACATTTTCCTTATCCATTCTTCAATAGAGGGGCATTTAGGTTGTTTCCAGGTTCTGGATATGGCAAACAAAGCTGCTGTGAACATAGTTGAGCACATGTCCTTGGGGCATGATTGAGCATCCTTTGGATATATACCCAAAAGTGGTATTACTGGGTCTTGAGGAAGGTTGTTTCCTAATTTTCTGAGAAATCGCCACACTGACATCCAAAGGGGTTGTGCCGCTTGCATTCCCACCAGCAATGCAGGAGTGTTCCCTTTTCCCCACAACCTCTCCAGCATAAGTTGTCATCAGGGTTTTTGACCTTGGCCATTTTTATAGGTGTAAGATGGAATCTCAGAGTTGTTTTGATTTGCATTTCTCTGATGACTAAGGATGCTGAACATTTCCTTAAGTGTCTTTCAGCTATTTTAGATTCCTCTGTTGAGAGTTCTCTGTTTAGGTCTGTACTCCATTTTTTTTATTGGATTATGTGATCTTTTGGTGCCCAATTTCTTGAGTTGTTTGTATATTTTGGAGATCAGACCTCTGTCTGATGTGGGGCTAATGAAGATCTTTTCCCATTCTGTAGACTGTCATTTTGTCTTGTTGACCGTGTCTTTTGCTTTACAGAAGCTTTTCAGTTTCAGGAGGTCCCATTTATTAATTGTTTCTCTCAGTGTCTGTGCTACTGGGATTATATTTAGGAAGTGGTTCCCTGTGCCAATGCGTTCAAGTGTACTTCCCACTTTCTCTTCTGTAAGGTTCAGTGTGGCTGACATTATGTTGAGGTCTTTGATCCATTTGGACTTGAGTTTTGTGCATGGTGATAGATATGGGTCTATTTTCATTTTTTCTACATGTTGATATCCAGTTGTGGCAGCACCACTTGTTAAATATGCTTTCTTTTTTCCATTTGATGTTTTTTGCTTCTTTATCAAAGATATCAGGTGTTTGAAGATGTGTGGATTGATATCTGGGTCTTCTATTCAGTTCTATTGGTCCTCCTGTCTGTTCTTATGCCAATACCAGGCTGTTTTCAGTACTGTAGCTCTGTAGTAGAGTTTGAAGTCAGGGATTGTGATGCCTCCAGAAGTTCTTTTATTGCCCAGGATTGTTTTGACTATCCTGGGTTTTTTGCTTTTCCAAATGAAGTTGAGTACCATTCTTTCAAGGTCTTTGAAGAATTTTGCTGGGATTTTGATGGGCAGCAAGTGACCTTTCATTTATGGTTTAATAAGTCAGTTTAGTGAAATTCTTGTCAGAGCCTGGCTGCTCAGATAGTGGTTTCTCTAGAAGTAAAGAGGTAACTTCTCTTCTTTTCCTCTTTCTAAGATGTCTAACCCTTTTTAGCTTCTTTGTTTTGGGGTGTGTGTGCTTTAAATCTTCATGAAGTTAAGCATTCCAGCAGGAAAACACACGATTCATACCAGGCGCCTTTGCATGGCTGCACATTTGTAGATGTTGCAGAGGTGCGAGGGGAGTGGGTCCTGAGGCCTCCTCTTCCCGCAGGTGCCCGCGTCTGGCTCTTCATCGGCTTCATGCTGATGTTCGGCTCGCTCATCGCCTCCATGTGGATCCTCTTCGGTGCATACGTCACTCAGAGTAAGTGTGCGTCCCCGCCTCACGCCACAGGAGGCCTTTACATTGGCTTGGTCTGTCCAGTCCGTTTGGAGTAAACATTTGTGCAGTAATTGTATTAGGTTACATTCTTCCTCTGTGAAGACCCATTAATTAACATAACCTGTCTTTTCCAGTGGGATGGCCCGTAGGAAATCCCAGCCCCTCTTAGCTATCTCTGGAGTTTCTGACTGCCTTCCCTTAGGCAGCTGAGTTTGGGGGTTGCAGTCTGAACAGGGGGACTAAGCCTGGTGTGGTGGTGCACAACTTTAATCCCAGCACTCGGGAGGCAGAGGCAGGTGAATCACTGTGAGTTCAAGGCAGTCTGGTCTACCAAGAGAGTTCCAGGACAGCCAGGACTACACAGAGAAACTCTGTCTTGAAAAATAAAACCAAACCAAAACTAAACTAAACTAAAACAGGCAACATAATTGAACTTCATGTTGGGTCCCAACTGGTCCCACTTGGTCCCGTTCCAGAGCTATGCATGTGCAGGTGTCCTCAAATATAAAGGCTGAAATCGGATCCCAAGCGTTTTAGATAAGGTGTACGCATCTGGTATCGCTCAGTGGTCCAAGTATTGTTGCAAACATTACAAGGGTCCCCCATTTAATCCCACTCCTGTATTGTGGACACTGTTAGAATGCCTGCGCTACAGAAAAGGAAGTTGAGACACTGAGGTTTAGTAACCTGCTCAAGGCAGTCAGTGCATTTAGTCAGTGACAGAGCTAGGCTTCAGCACCAAGAACTCAGCTCAGACTGGGAGCGCTCCAGCTGACCTGCTGTTTTGTTTTTCTGTGCTCTCAAAAGCTTGAAATGTAAGCATGGGCAGTGGGCAGTCAGTGAATGTAATATCAGGAATAGCTAACGCCCTTGTCAGAGTCTGTGCGGGCCCTACCAGGCACAGGTGTTTTGCTTTCTTGGCACTGTTTATTGCTGAACTCAGCCTCCTGGGCTAAAGCGGTCCTGAGCTCCAGCTTCCCGCAGCACTAGAACCATGGTGCCCAGTCATAGCAGCTGTGATCTGCCCTGAGCCTGTGAGTTAGACAGCGAGAGCATCATGAAGTCACTGACGTTTATCTAAAGTAATCTTTTAGGGAATGAAATTATTTGTTTCCTTGTGGACACACAGAACGCATCACTCTGAATGGCATGGGCCCTGTGGCTGCTGTTTCCCCTCTAATCTGTTTCATTCCTGTTTGCAGATATTGATGTTTATCCTGGACTAGCTGTGTTCTTTCAAAATGCTCTTATATTTTTTAGGTAAGTTGTCTAATTTCCTTTCCTCTCTTTTATTTTTTAAAAAAGATTGATTTTTATCTGTGTGCATGCGTGAGTGCCTGCATGAGGAGGCCTCAAGAAGGTGCCAGATCCCCAGCAACTGGAAATTGCAGGTGGTTGTGCCGCCTGGTGTGGGTGCTGGGAACTGAATCCCACTGCTCTGCAAGAGCAGCAAGTGCTCCTAACTGCTGGGCCATCCTCCCAGCTCCAAGTCGCCTGATTTCTCACTTGCACTTAAACATGTACAGAAATGTCCACAGCATTGTAAGAGTGGCATGGCCATGGACATCAGTGAAATCCTTTTAGCGGGGCCTGCCGCCAAGACCTCACTCCTCGTCATAGAAGGATATGCTGCCAGTGCTTAAATGAGTGCCAGCTGTTCTCTCGTTCATAGGCGAGACATACTCAGAGGAGTAAATGCAGGGAAGGAACTTAAATCCAGACTGTAGATTTAGTTCATAGCCTGATCTTTGCTTAGCACAAATAATGCAGATTTATAAGAAAGAGAAAGATTCAGGGCATGAGGTGCACACCTTTAATACTAGCACTCATGAGGCAGAGGCAGGAGAACCTGTGAGCTCGAGGCTGACATATATATGACTCTGGTCTATAGAGTGAGTTCAAAACTTTATTATTAGCCAGTAATTGTAGCAATATGGCTATGGTGTGGTGCAGGTTCTTCATGTTTCTTATGCTTGGGGCTCATTGCATTTTAAAAAGCATCAGTTTATAGTTCTCATAAAATTCAGACTTTTAAACTAATATTTCTTTGACTATTTTTCTGTCTTTCTTAGGTTCTAGATATAGTAACACTAGGTGGTGATGACTGCTGCTCTTCCTCCCCTCCCTCCTCCTCCTGCTCCTCCCTACTTCTTCTTCCCCTCCTCTGCCTCTCCTTCCTACGGTTTCCCCCTCTTCCTCTTTCTCCTCCCTTCCTCCCCCACTTCACTTTCTCCACTTCTCCCCTTCCTCCTTTGCTCTCTTTCTCCTTCCCCCTCATTTTTTTCTATCCCTGCCTGTAGTCAGAGGAGACTGTTTGTTCATTTCCCAGCCACCCAGATTCTCTAAATAACCACACATAAACTATATTTTAATCACTGCTTGACCCATTAACTCTAGCTTCTTACTGGCTAACTTTTACATAATAATTTAACCCATTTCTATTAATCTGTGTATTGCCGCAAGGCTGTGGCATACCCAGTAAAGTTCCAGCATCAGTCTCAGGCAGGGCTACATGGCTTCTCCTGGACTCTGCCTCCTTTCTCCCAGTATTCAGTTTAGTTTTCTCCACCTAGCTCTGTTCTACTCTACCAGGCCAAGCTAGTTTCTTTATTCATTAACCAATAAAAGCAACACATAGACAGAAGAACTTCCTACATCACCTGCCTCCCCATAATACAGGGTCTTTTTGTATTGCCAAGACTGGCCTTAAACTCCAGGTTCCCAAAATCCTCCTGCCTCGGCCTAGGCAGCTGGGACTAGAGGATCCATTATGTCCACTCAGCTCTTACATTATACTTGTAGAAGTCGGTATAGCTCGGTGGCTCCCTGCCCTGTGCCTGGCTTTCCCGTTGTCTTTTCTCCACACCTGTGTGGCTAGTTTCTGATGTTCTGTCTTGAGGCTCACTGGGCTGAGCTTCTTCAGTGTCCAGCCGGTTGCTCATTCCAGCAGCTGTGTTTTTAGCCCTAGAAACTCAGTTCAGGTCTTGAGGTGTCTTCCTTGTCTCTCCTGAGCATGCTGTGTTTCTGTTCGTGTGAGTACACCTGACCATGTAAACCTTTTTTGATGGCCTGCACTGTTTTCATTCATTGATTATTTCTATTTGTTTTTCAGTTTGGGGCTTTTGTTTTTTCCATTTGCAGTTTTCTAAGCAGTTTATTGGTAGTTTTGGTGTTCTGTTCTGATACAGTGTTTTTGAGCCTAAGTTTCATGTATCCCAGGCTGGCCTCAAGCTCACCGTAGCTGAGGATGACCCTGCACTCCCTTTCAGGATGGGCTGATGGGTCAGATTCTCCTCTCTTAGGATTGACACCACACGCCATCCTTCACAGCATGTTTCCATGGCTGGACTTTGACATGTACCTGTTGTCTCCCGCATTAGATAGCTTGGTCCACAGAGAGCAACTGTATTCATTTTGAGTCAACCATAAGCCATCTCTTAGCCAGAGGCCCTGTGCAGTCCAGTGTTTAGTCCACAGTCGTTGAGGAACGGAGAATTACAGTCTGGTCTGTTTTAGGTGCTTCTGTGACCAAGCACAGATAAAGATGCCCTTAGAGCTGTAAAGTGGCTTTGGACCCACGACTGCCACAAGACTGCCCTTCTCTCCAGCATATTTCCTGCGTGATAGCTGTCTAGGCATTGTGGGGTGCTCTTCACCCCCAGACACCACGGTGCAACTACTTCACAAAACAAGGGCACCCCTCACAGCGCGCTGGTCTTGCATTTGGTTTTAGATGTTGACAAACGGTCAGTGATGTCACTGGCAGGCGTGCCTGTCAGAGCCACGTAGATGCAAACTCCGCTGTTGTTGCTGTCACCTCACGGCTCTGTTCGTCCCTTTCTAGCACTCTGATCTACAAATTTGGAAGAACCGAAGAGCTCTGGACTTGAGATCACCTCTCAGATTGTACCCTCCTCTTGTTCTGTTCTGTTTTTAGATAACTTTATCTCTGGTATAATTTACACATTGCCAAATGGAACAGATTGTACACCGAGTGTTTGATTTCTTCACAGTTTTATGCTCTGAGATTAGAATTGCTTTTGCAAAATGTCTGTCTTAGTTTTTCATTGGCGGACAAGTTAATATGTACATAATCCACGACCACACAATACATGATGCTGGATGTCAGGGTTTCATTCCCGAGGCTCTCAGATTAGTATGTGCCCCAAGCCAGGGTTCTGTTGTCTTGGTGTTTAGAGATACTCTGTCTTGGTGTTTAGAGATACTCTGTCTTGGTGTTTAGAGATACTCTGTCTTGGTGTCTGATGTTGGACAGTGAACAGAATGCACAGCTCTGCGGCTCTGCAGAGGCCTGAGCTGCCAGAGAAGGCGTGCATATCTGCCAGCTGTAATTTATTTTGGCTTGGAAATGAGACTTTTTTTTAAAGGAAAATGTTTGTGTGTATGTATGTATTGGAGAACTGGACTTTTATATGAAGTTTTTTTAAATGCCCAAAGGCCTAGTTTGAAGCCCCCTTTAAAAAGAATTCTTCACCCGTGACTTTTATTTGAGAAGGGATAACACTCTCAGAAAAGCTCCCTTTGTTGGAGCTAATGTAAAAGGACTGCAGGCGGCTGAGCAGTGTGCTCCCTGTCGTCTCCTACGGCTCAACACCATCCAGCATCACACTCTCAAGCAGTGACCCTGAGGCCGCATAGTTCAGACACGTGTCACAAAAAGTGGAATAATTAGCTAAAGATAGGCTTCTTCCTGAAGGGCAACAGCCATTTGTTCTCCTAGCCCTTGACTCCCATGCTCTAGCCTCAGGCGTCAGGTGACCAGATGCTGCACAACGTAAGCGCGTGTACTGAAAGCCACACTCCACTCCGGAAGCCCCTCGCCATTTTTGAGTGCTGTGTTTGTCCATGTCTATTCCTGCGGTCTTTCCTTTGTTGTGAAGATTCTGTGTTGCACTTTTAACCCCAGAGGGATTTTTATAAAACCTTTTTCTGAAAACAATAATATCGGTGGTAGCATATGCAACTTCCGATGCAGGCCTTATGTTCCTAGCTTGCCTCCCCGAGAGAGAGGCCTCACCAAGCACAGCGCGTGAAGCGGCTGCGGATTGCTGTGCCTTCATCTAGATGCGTCTTGCTTCCTTACTCCCCTGTCAGTCCTTCAAAATGCTGGCTTTGTCTGGCTTCCGGAGCACGGCAAAGCTAATCACACATTTCCATTCTTAGAATCTAATGCAATAAATATTTCTCATACCTGCACTGTACAGCTAGGTGTGCTGGGGGAAATGATCCACTACTCAGCTCTCTGTTATTCTCCATTGTCCAAGTTATTCCCATTCAAGAAGCATTCATACGCAAGGAGACGACACATGACTTCAGCACGCCAGTGTGGAGGTTTGTGAAGGGCAGCCATGAGGACCGACTGACAATGCTGCTGGCTTCTCTTCTGTTCATGAATTTTGTTTTAGTTGTGAGCATTCTGTTGATTTTCTCTGTTGTCTCAATAAATGAGAGACGCTGTTAGCGCCCTCCCACAGGTGTTGTGAGTCGGTGGAGCCTCGGTGATCCTCTAAGTGCACATGATTCTCCTAATAAAGGTCTCTTTTATTTGTTACTCAACTCAAGACTATTGAACCTGGGTCTTTTGTGTGGGGGTCATGTTGCCACAGCGTTCTGTAGGCCATTCACCGTGTTATTTTTTGGTTGTTTCAAGGGAGGATCTCACTGTAACCCTGGCTACCCTGGAACACAAAATGTAGACCAGGCTGGCCTTGAACTCACAGAGATCTGCCTCCTCTGCCTCCCAAGTGCTAGGATTAAAGACATGGGCCACCACACACAGTCTGTGTTACTGTGTATGTGTGCATATGTATGCATGTGTGTGCATGTGTGTGGAGACTAGAGGTCTCCATCTTGTTTGAGACAGTCCCTCCCTTGGAGCTGGGGGATCGCAAATGAGACTAAGCTGGCTGCTCGGTAAGAGCCCAGCTGTCTCTACCTCCCCAGCACTAGGTTTGCCAACATGTGCCATCGTGCCTCGGGTTACTTGGGTCCTGTGGATCAAATTCGGGTCCTCATGCTGCTCTGGCAGACTCTTTACCAACTGCGCTGTCTCCTTGCCCCCCTTGCCACAATAACTTTCCTGTTGCCACTGATGAAGACACACATAGATTTCCCCCTCTAAGATACCAGTCTGCACGATCATGCCAGGCCTTGAAGATTGAAAGATGGATGGTATCAAACCACATAGTTTGGTCTCTTGAGTAGGAAACTCTGGAGTGTTTGCAATGGACAGGTTGAATTTATGTTCTCCGTGTTTCTCCCTCATGGAAGAAATATTGCAGTCATGGTGTCAATTTAGGATCACTTAACATATATTTATTATTACTTGATTTTATGTGTATGTGTCTCCGTGAATGGATGTATATGAACCACATGAGCATCTGGTGCCAGAAGAGGCCAGAAAATAGTGTCGGGTCCTCAGAGCTGGAGCTGCAGGTGATTGTGAGCAACGATGTGCTTGCTAGGAAAATAGTGTTGGGTCAGAGCCGGAGCTGCAGGTGATTGTGAGCAGCTGTGTGCGTGTTAGGAGCCCAACTTAACTCCTCTGTAAGTGCAGCCAGTGCACTTAACTGCTGAACCGTTTCTCCAAACCCAGCTCTTTGTATTACTCATTTGAGATTTGATCATTGCCACCCTCACAAGTTTATCCCAATTTTTCCATGTACTCTCCCGAGCATTCAATTATTCTGATCAAAATTATGAAGGGTTGGGCTTCTTTTAGTATTATTTATTTATTTATTTATGTGTGTGTTTTATGTGTCTCTTGTCATTCTGTATATCTGTATGTGTGTCTGTGTGCCTGCCTAACTGTATGTATATCTCTGTATCTCTGTGTATGTGTTGTCCTTCTGTGTCTGTATGTCTGTCTGTGTATGTAGGGGTGTCTGTCTGTGCAGGCCTGAGCATCACCTGGGACAGTTAGTTCTGCTCAGTACAGCCTGGCTCACTGAAGAGGATTCATGGGCACTACTTTTAGCTCTTTTCCTTCTGTGAGGAAATTAATAGTCGCTGTGATTGACAGGCCCAGTTGAAGGAAACTGGACACTGATTTCATTGTAGAATCCTTCCTTACCTTTAGGAAATGGGACACAGGTTTTCTTTTCATATCTCATCCCTAGTTTCTTAGAAATAGTTTTTTATTGTGTTTTTATTATAAATTAGCTTTGGGTTGGAGAGATGGATCAAATCTTAACAGTACACTGATTGCTCTTCTAGAGGTCCTAAATTCAAATCCCAGCAACAACATGGTGGCTCACAACCATCTATAATGAGGTCTGGTGCCCTCTTCTGGTCTTCAGTTGTACATACAGACAGAACACTATACATGATAAATAAATCTTTAAAAAAAAATGATTTCTTTGCACAGACTGATATTTAAAGAGCTTACTTTTTTTGGTTTTTTTCGAGACAGGGTTTCTCTATAACTTTGGAGCCTGTCCTGAAACTAGCTCTTATAGACCAGGCTGGCCTGGAGCTCACAGAGACCCTCCTGCCTCTGCCTCCCGAGTGCTGGGATTAAAGGAGTGTGCCACTACACCCAGCTGTATTTTTATTCCTTCCTCCCTCTCTTCCTTCCTTTTCATTATGTAGACCAGGCTGTTTTGAATCTCACAGAGGTCCACTTGCCTCTCTCTCCGAAGTGCTATAATTACAGGTGTGTGCTACCACACAAGGCTGTAGTTTCTTAAAAAAAAAAAAAACAAAACAAAAAAAACACTGTGAAAGGATTAAAATAGGCTAACATGTCACCATAACCACTCCAGGTGTCCTCCACCTCCATCACATGACCACTCCAGGTGTCCTCCACCTCCATCACATGACCACTCCAGGTGTCCTTCACCTCCGTCACCATGACCACTCCAGGTGTCCTTCACCTCCATCACCATGACCACTCCAGGTGTCCTCCACCTCCATCACCATGACCACTCCAGGTGTCACCATGACCACTCCAGGTGTCCTTCACCTCCGTCACCATGACAATTCCAGGTGTCCTTCACCTCCGTCACCATGACCACTCCAGGTGTCCTCCACCTCTTTCTTCCCCTAAAGAAGCAACCCCTCCAAGTATACTCCATTTTCTCCCTAAAATGGTGCTCAGTCCCGGTGGACGCTGATTTAAAGAGTACTAAACAGTTGTCCCTAGGGCAAGGGCACCACGAGGTTCCTGAGATGTGAGTCACAACATTGTTCTTAAGTGATCAGCTCTGTGGGTGTTTCACTTTGTTTAATAGATACTGTTTCCAGGTGGTGGTGGCCCATGCCTTTAATCCCAGCACTTGGGAGCCCAAAGCAGGGGGATATCAGTGAGTCCAAGGCCAGCCTGGCCTACAGAGCGAGTTCCAGGACAACCAGCACTGTTACATATAGAAACCCTATCTCAATAAAGAAAAATAGCGTTGATGTGACACAGAGAAACCTGGTCTGGAAAAAACAAAACAAAACAAAACAAAATAGATACTGTTGACATGTTACATCGGATCCACCATCACCACCTTCTTGTAGCTGTAAGCTCTAGACAGCACTTGAGCTCAGCCCTCAGAGGCCCTGCCAAACACCAGCAAGAGCAAAAGCTTAAAGGACACGTTCCCAGAGAGACCAGACACCTGCTTCCACCACAGAGCAGAAAGAGTTGTGTTGTGTCGTGCCCCCCCCCCCCCCCGTCTCGTCAGGCAACTCAGATCACTCTGCACATATCCTTAAAGGATCAGGAAATCGCCTCAAATACTGACTCTGGGGTCACAAATACATTTCAGCAAGTAGACTGTTGGGTCCAAGTAACAGGATGTGTAGTGATCGCGTGCGTGCACACCGGCACACACCCCACTGGCCTTTGTCCCTTTCACACTGCTTGTTTTCAGCATTCCTGTGCTGGGCCATCATCCCTCCCCCTTTTTATGGCTGCCAGTTTAATCGCCTAGCTTCTGGGCAGCCTGAGTCATTTCTGCTCCACAGATAGCTGGGGGAACAGCGTGTCCCATATCCTCTCCTCTGCAGTTCTGTCTCGGCTTCAGAGAGCTCAAGGCATTCATTGGGTGACTCAGACTTTTTCCGTGACCCCGAAGCCCTGCTCTTCACTCAGAACACAGAGGACCGTTCAGGGACCCAGGGAGAAGGCTGAAGTCAGAGAAGTCCGGACTGCATGAGCTCAAGCATCTTCCTCCCATGCCAGGAAATGTTTTCTAATTAGAACTCTATAAAGTGTGTATTGTGGGCTTGGAGCTAGCTCACTAGTAACGTGCTTGCCTTGCAACACAAAGACCTGACTTCCATCTCCACAGCATTAAAATTTAAAGCTCCCCCTTTTGGTGAAATTTTTGCTGGGGCGATGGATGCGGGTGGATCGCTAGAGCTCCCTGGCTAGACTGCCTAGCCTAATTGGCGAGCTGTGGGTCAGTGAGAGACCCTGTCTGAAAAAACACGGTGAGTGGTTTCTCTAAGAGATCGACCTTGGCTCAGCACCCCAAGACCGAGTGCTCAGCACAAAGGAGGTTCGTTTGCCCCAGAGAGATGGAGGGCAGGGAATAAGAGACAAATACAGGAGGTAGAGGATGAGGGAGAAGGGGAAGGAGCAGGGACATTTGTCCTGGTGGGACAAAGGACCACCTCTGTATGGAGAGGAGACTGCTGTGGTCTATAGGAAAATGGTGATTAGGCAAAAGGGGAACCCCGTGTTAGGGTGAGGTGTTTAATTTTTTTTAATATAATTTATTTAACTTTATTTTCTGTGCATTGGTGTGAAGGTGTCAGATCCCTGGGAACTGTGGTTGCAGACAGTTGTAAGCTGTCTGCTGGTGCTTGGAACCTGGGTCCTCTGGAAGAACAACCGATGCTCTTAACCACTGAGCCATCTCTCCAGCCCTGAGATGTTTAACTGGGCATATTAATTAGGTGAACCAAAGGAGGCTTTTGATTGCTGAACTTGAATACTTTGATAGCTGGACCTTGGTGGTCAGCCTCCGGAGGAGGAAGTGGTCACATCAAGGAATAGACCTTGGGGGCCAGGAATGCAATCTAACAGTTTTTAGCCAGGCAGAGGGGATAGGGGAGAAGGGCAGGCCTGCCAAGGTCACATGCTCTCCTGGGTCAGTGTCCCTCCAGTTTCTTAGGAAATGGGTCGCTGGGCCTATGCACATGCATTCACACATACACATACATGTGCCTCACGCAGACACACAGTTCACGGTATATGCTTTAAAAAGGAGTGGTTATAGAGGTTCCCACACTTTCTTTTCATTGAGCATTTTAAAATTGTATTTCTTGAGGCTTAGATTTTTGGTTGCTCTACCAAGACGTCCCGGGTTCGTGTTCCAGCACCCACATGTGGCTCACAAACATCTGTGTAACATGTGGGGCCGGCTTGTTGGGGTTTCTGTCCTGCCCAGTACCCCAAAGCCGGGCAAGCCCAAAGAAAATCACACACAGGACTCCATAAGGTTATAAACTGATTGGCCCATTAGGTCAGGCTCCTTATTAGTCCTTGTAACTTATGTTACCCCATTATCCTTATCTACGTTAGCACATGGCTCCGTACCTTTCTCAGCTGGGCAAATTACATGCTGCCTCTTCGGTGGTCTGCGCAGGAGTGGCTAAGGGAGTTTCCTCCTCCCTAGCCTTATCCTATTCTCATTGCCCCGCCTCTACTTCCTGTCTGGTTGACCCACCTATACTTCCTGCCTGACCAATCAGCGTTTTATTAAAATACATGATTGACAGAATACAGACAATTCTCCCGCACCACATCTGTAATTTCTGTGCCCAGGGAATCCAATTCGTCTTCTGACCTCCAGAGATAACTGCATACGCATGGTGACCAGATATATTCAGGCAAAACAGTCATACACAGAAAATAAAAATAAATCTTTAAAAATTATGTTTTTGGGTAGCTTATAAAAATGTTTTATTGTGACTTTTTTGTGCATAAATATACTTTGTTCTTTTAAAAAGTTTCTTTTATTTGCGTGTATTGTGAATAGATGTGCGTGTGTGTGTGTGTGTGTGTGTGTGTGTGTGTGTGTGTGTGTGGCTCAGGATGACCTAGAACTGGAGACCTTGCCCCTTCAGCTTCCTGAGTGCTGGGATCGCAGATGGCTCTGTCCACACTGGGCTGTGCTCTCTGTTCTGTTCTGAGCTGGCCAGCCCTGCTCATTCTTTTGTGGCAGCGTTATCACAGTTGAAATGTCCTGGGGATTTCAGATAGAGGCCCAGGCCTCTTCAGTTCCTGTAGCAGCACACAAGAATCTCACATCCCTGGAGTAAGTGTGCAGACTGCTGACTTCTCCAGACGGGGATGTTACGTGGGCCTAGGGATCATGGGAGTTTTGACTTTTGGAGAAAGAAACTGGAAAGCCCTTTGATGTCAAGTAGATTGACCTCCCACCACAGCCTCCTACCAAAAGTAACCCGACCCTGCCAAAGGCCCCCTGCCCCCTGCCCCTCTTCCCCACCAAAGGACGTAGAGTGCAGTTCCCTACGATGTTCCATGTTCCTTGAGCTGGATTTCCCTTCCTGTGAATTTTCAGATTAACATTTTATTTTGAATAACTAAAGTCTTACTGAGAAGTAGAAACAACAACAAAATTCCGTATGACCTTGCTTTTGTGAGAAGTGTTTGACACTATGTTGCAGACTGATATCTGAAATGCTTCTGTGTACATCCCTAACAATGCAAGGCACAGACAGTGTGTCTGTTTATTTAAGCAGGAAATCTGTTGGTGACTTGGAGAGAGCTGTCTCTATCTCATCAACACATAGGCTAATGTGGTTAATGCTTGGTCCAGCCAGTGATCGGCATGGGCTGAGCAACCCTGCCTTCTCCTAAACTGTGCCCAGCCCTCGTATGCTTTAGAGCATGCGCCCAAGAATACAATACCCCCTCTTATCATTTGTGATGGGAGTGTCTCTCTTTGTGGCGGTACAGGGACCACTTCATTAACTAGGTCAGCAAGCTCTCCACAAAGGGCTAGGTGGGGTAAATATCAGACTTTGTGAGCCATGCATTCCGATGCTACTCCTTGGGTCTGCCTGGAAGTGCAAAAGTAGCCACGGACCGCGGACCACGTGGGAAGGAGTGAGCCTCCCCAGCTTCTTGTAGACCATGTAGGAAGGAATGGTCCTCTCCAGCTTCCTGCAGACCACGTGGGAAGGAGTGCACCTCCCCAGCTTCCCGTAGAGCTCCATGGACACCAGGATTCCAAGTCAGCTCCCTGTGTATTGAAGTATTGCCTTTAAATTTCTTTTTATTTCTGTAGTGTTTGTGCCTACTGTTTGTCCCCATATGTGTGCAGGCACCCACAGAGGTTAAAAGAGGGTGTCAGATGGAACTGGAACTATAGGTGCTTAAGTCACCCAATGTGGGTGCTTGATGTAGGAGAGTCTTCTATCTATCTGTTGCTTTCATTCGGTTAATTAATAAAGAAAACTGCCTGGCCTGATAGGTCAGAACATTGGTAGGCAGAGTAGACAGAACAGAATGCTGGGAGAAAGAAGCAGAGGCAGAGAGCTGCCCACCATGAAGCTGCCAGGTCAGACATGCTGAATCTTTCCTGGTAAGCCACGACCTCATGGTGACATACAGATTATTAGAAATGGGTTGAGTCAAGATGTGAGAGTTAGCCAATAAGAGGCTACAGATAATGGGCCAGGCAGTGTTTAAAAGAATACAGTTTCTGTGCAATTATTTTGGGTAAAGCTAGCTGGGCGGGTGGTGGGACACAGCCCACCGCTCCTTCTACAACAGGTGCTGGGAACCAAACCCAGGTCCTCTGGAAGAGCAGCAAGCCCTTAACTGCTGAGCCATCTCTCCAGCCCCTGGCTCTTGTTTGCCTCTCCAACTATTTAAAGATGTAAAAATGGCTGTTGACTCAGAAGCTGCAGAAAAACAGGAAGTGATTTTAGCTAGTAAAGACTTGGCCATTATAACGACTTTAATGTAAGAGAGGGCCCAACTGGATGTTTTATAGATGATGGTCTTCTCTTGATTAGAAATTAAAGTTCCAAGTTATCACAAGAATTAATCCTGTTTTCTAGTTGTTTATTATACGAGGCAGCGCTAGGCACAGTTCTCTGGGAGAGAAAACTATGCAGGTATCTTTCTTCTTCGAATCTTCTGGTCCTCTGGGAACATAGGCCTCGTGCCCATTACGTGGACCCAGCTAAAGCCGTGCAAGGGCTCAGCTAACACCATCCTGTGCCAGCTCCCTTTGAGGCTTGCCCTCTCCCTCCCTCCCCACAGCGATCACATCTGCCTCGGAGAGTTCCACAGTCTTGACCATGATCCAGATATATAAACCAAAATAATTAACTAGAAAAAGATATAATTCAAAAATAATTGGCAAGTTATGTCTGGAATAATTACTATGTTCTGCCAGGAATGAACGTTTCAAGGTTACTCTGGCCTTCATCTAACTTTGATGTCTAACAATGATGGTCTTTATGGGGTATTTCTGGCTTTAAAATCTTGCATCCCTGAGCTTGGGCACCAGGAGACTTTCCGGAGGCACCGGCCCAATCAGGCCATAAATAAAAAGGACTTAAAACTTTTAATTGGCTTAATCAACACTGTTGTCAATAGCTACGTGAGTAGATCATTACGATGATGAGGAATGACTCAGCACCGCTTGTTTCTTCTGGGCACGGTGGCACACGTCCTGTGAGGTCGAGGCCAGCTTGATCCACACAGCCAGCCTGTTGTTCCACATAGATGGTTCCTTATCAGCCAGGGCTACATAGGACGTCCCTGACTCAAAAACTAACCAACCGCAACAAATATACCCATTGATAGCCTGTTGGAATTCTCAGTAGATGAGACTCAGACAGTAAGTGTGGACAGCCTGCTCTCCACGTCTACAGAGTGTTTACTCTGGGCTTGGGCTCTGTGTTTCCCTCTGACTTCGCTGCCACCGTTAGCCAATTGTGCCACCCTGTGGGGCTCAGCCACAGCCACCTCCTGCCTCAGGACAACAGACTAATTCCACCCTAAAGCCAGTTTATAGTGGCTGTTCTTGGTTTTCAATGTGACCACATTTGGAACTAAAGCCAAAACCCAGAAGGCCTGTGATGGGGGAGCCTCCTTTATCCTTTTTCTTTTTTTGCAGTGCTGGGACTGGAACTCAGGGCCCTGCGCATGCTAGGCAAGTGCTCTACTACTGAGCCATATTTCCCGCTTTGTCCTCCTAATTGTTAGCACCCCACCCCACCACCAAGATGGCTAGTTCACAAGCCTAGTCAGAGACGCGGCCCAAGAGGAGGAGGCTCTGTCAACAAGTGTACGGGTGCCACCAGCCTAAGGCTGAGTGTCTTCTCCCTGCCAGCAAAGGCTGTTGGCAGGGGTGCTCAGCGCAGACTACATGGGTGCTGTGCCACTATGGGTGGCAGAGGGGAGAGCTGCACATCCTTCCCTAAATGTTAAATCATACAGAAGGGTTTCAAATGTGCGAGAGTGGCCGTCAGCTCATGTGTGCTTGTGAGTGGCGTGAGAGAGTGGTAGTCAGCTCATGTATGCTTGTGAGTGGCGTGAGAGAGTGGTAGTCAGCTCATGTGTGCTTGTGAGTGGCATAGTTGGTGGCCGTCTCCCTTTCCTGAGTTCGTACAGTGTGACTCATGTGACTGGCATGCTGATGGCTCCTCTGGAAATACCCTCAGACTCTTAAGAATTAGGAGGTGACTTCTTCCTTGCTGGAGTCTCCTGAGGGCTCATCAGCTCTACTTAAGAGAACCCAAGTTTTAGATACAATTGGGTTTTGTTAATTTATTTTTGTTTTGACACAGGGTCTCTGCATAGCCCTGGCTGTCCTGGAATTTATCATATAGATCAGGCTGGCCTCAAACTCAACAGAGATTTGCCTGACTCTGCCTCCTGGGCGCTGGGATGAAAGACGTGTACCACCATGCCTGGCTAAAACTTCTCAAAAGTCAAAACTTTGTAGAAAAGCAGCCAAAGCAATGAAGGTAAAGTGGGGGAAGGATGAAGAAGAACTCACATAGCTTTTTACAAAGTTCAATATACAATCCTTTATTTCTAGCTTTAAAAATCCTAACTTAAATTATCACAACTTTATTTACAGAATTGATCATCTCTACATGTGTGAGGTGCAGCGTAGGCCATTCCATGCTGGGCAAACACTGGGCCTGGCAATAATCACATTTAGACCATTACTCTGGACTTGAAGGGGACACTAAGGGCCCTCTTTGTGACAGGCAGGAATGGCTGGGACAACTCATTCCCAAAGTGAAGGGAGGGCAGCCCTACTGCCAGTGTGCCTTTTTAGTGTTTAAGAGAAACGTTTTTTTCCCTGAGATATTTCTCTGTGGAATCCTTTTAGATACTTGTATGATCCAGAAAACTCATAAAGAATCAATAGTCCACCATCTTTCCCATGAAAGGCCTTCCTGAGGCGGAAGTCCGTGGGGGCAGTGTGATCTCTGCAGAGTCCAGGCAGAATGGCAGCAGCATCCCACATGGTCCTCCTGGGCAAGCAGGGACTGGTGCCCTGGCTCATAGTGTGTGGAGCACACACTCTTGCTCCTTTTCTGCAGAGGAAATGATGGACACAGAGTCCCAGGCATCATCCTTTGGGGAACTGTCCTTGTCCAAGACTTCTAAGATGGGTTGGTCTGGGTCCTTTAAGTACTAGGAAAGGTTACAAAACAAAATGGTTATAAACAGCTTCATCAGCCAGGCCTCCGCGTCTCTGCTTGCAGTTGGTAGAGTCAGCTACATGATATTCCCGTGCAACTGTACGCCGTCAACCAATACATACCGCCACCGACAATATTGTTGTTACTATGGTGACGCCTGGGGTCAAGCCCAGGACCTGGTACATGGTAAGCGCACAGTCTACCTTGGCACACGCCCAGCCCTGATTCCCAGCATGCACCTGTCTTTACCCCTCATCTCAGTAATAACTGTAATGGGGCTCCAGAGGCAGGCCTGGGGTGTAGCTCCGTGTAGCAAGTACAGGGGCCTGGGTTCCATCCCCAGCACTATAAAAAAACAAAACCAAATCAAACCACGTGAAAATTAAGGGCCAATATATTCATCTGATGATAACCGCGAAGGGCAGAACTCAGAAAAAGTAGGACTTCTGGCTGCCCTCAGTGTACACATTGTGGATGATAGACTTTAAAACATTTCAAAAATGTAACATTTGATGGGGAGATGACCTGTTAGGTAAGGGCGCTTGCTGCCAAGCCTGACCATCTGTGTTTGATCCCCAGGACCCCCATGATAAAAGGAGAGAACCGGCTCCTGAAGATTGTCCTCTGACTTTTATATCCAGCATGCATCTCTTACCCACCCGCTAAAACAGAAAATGTAACCTTCAGCTGTCATTTAGCTGTGACAGGGCAGAGCAGGGAATGCCCCTAAGCACCGTTGGAGCCCCTCCTTCCACTTGCAACAGCCCTGGGGTACACTGGGGTGGGGTGGGGGTCCTACAGGAAGAGAGGTCTCACAGCCCTCAACTTCCCCTTTTGTCCTTGGCTATAGACTCGTCCTGTTTCTCAGGCTCTGCCTGCGCTCTCAGAAGTGCTGAGAGACACCAAATGCTAAGGGCCAACAGAAAGAGGAACGGGGTCACACCCACCAGTGACACCCCAGACACAGAAGCAAAACCGGTCTCTGTTCTCAGGGGAACATCAGTGACCTTTGGCAGTTTTTCATTCTTTCCCAAAAGAGTGCATCGAAACCTTAGATTCCTGTCCCAGAGAAACAGCTGGGGTGAACCCAGACTCAGCTCCTCTGAGGGTTGTACCTGAGAGGCAGGACGAGCCCAGTAACCCCTCGGGGCCATCAGGACCCTACTCTCTGACAGTGTCGGGCAAGGAGCCTTTAAACCCAACTCCATGGTGCCACGTGCTCACATGGACTTGGACATCTTTATTGTGTGCGGATTTACGTGTGTGGGCCGGTGCCCATCTATGGAGAGCAGAGGACAACCTTCGGGAGTCAGTGCCTCCTCCCACGTGGGTGCTGGGATCTCAGGTGTGTGCCACCCTGCCCAGCTTTCAGCTCCACCAACTGAAAATCGAGTCTCTGCGCTTGGGCGCCCGAGCCCTGCTGGGTCACCTGCTTCCAATCTGCGCACTCACCTCCTTTATTTGTTCCGGGATCTTTGGGGGAGCTTGAAACCAGTATTTCACCCGGCTCTGGTATTTGAGGAACAGGAAGAAGCAGGCACCTGTGAGCACCAGAAAGATCCCCACAGAGATCCCGATGGCTAGCTGGCTGGTGTAGGCTAAGAAACAATGACATAAATGTGAGCAGGGCGAACGCAGTCCGTGGGCCCCTGCCACTGCTTGCCATATCCGTGTCCCAGTAAAACCGACAGGAGCCCCTCTCCTGCCCTTGCCCTATGCACTTAAATTAATAATTTCAATCTGAAAATGTGAAGTCTGAAAAATTCTATTTCAAAATAGAAACCTGCCCTGTCATGATATCACATGTGGAAAGCTCCTCATCCAGGTTCACGTGATGGCTCACAGTGCACGCATGAGTGCACGTGGGGCAGTGGGATGGCTCAGTAAGTAAAGGCACTGGTCCCTACCCGTGACAGAGCTCAGTGTGATCCTGGAGACCCATGTGGTGACAGGAGAGAGCTGCCCTCTGACCTCTACTCATCTGGACACACACGCACACACACAAATGCAATAAAAATTCCCAATAAAAATAAAAACACCAGTGTACTAAAAATATCATATAAAACCTCCTTTAGGCTATATAAGGTATCTATGAAACATAAGGGAATTTTGAGTTCAGACTTGGAACTCATTCCTAAGACTCTTCATTATGTATATGCAAATATCCCAAAATCTGAAACAAGAAAACCTCAAATCAGACATACTTCTGGGTCCCGGATGTTGTGGAGGTTACTCAGCCTAGTCACATGATCAAACTTTCAGGTTAGCACTTCTGGGTCTCTCTGCTCCTACCGCACTTCTGGGTCTCTCTGCTCCTACCGCCTGCCGCCCCACAGCCTGCTTGCTGCCCTGCACAGCCTGCCCGCCTGCCACCCCGCAGCCTGCCTGTCTTCACCATTTCAGGAGAAGCATTTTTACAACACATGACCGATAAATGAAGGTATGCCTTACTGTTCTCTGTTGTTTCATGGCAAGATACGTTGCTGAACGAAGACCTAGGTGGACAGGTATTTCCGACTTTCACAATCAGCTGCGTCTCAATTTGTAAACAGTAAACGCTAGATGGCTTCAAATCGTTCAACACAATGGAGTTCTTCTTGAAAGGGCCGCTCACCTGGGTAGACAGTATCACAGCCACACAGGTGAGCCAGCCAGCCAGGGCCAGTGGCTTCTAGCTTTTCTAGTACCTCAAATCCACAGTGAGCACGGCCGACTGGTAACAAGACTGCAGGGCTGGCAGCTCTCGTCAGCCTTGTGCAGCAACCAGAACTTAACAAATCCTAATTTCTAGGATAAGAATTCTCTGGGCTAGAGAGATGGCTCAGCCGTTAAAGGCTAGGCCCACAACCAAAAATATAAGAGTTCGGTTCCCAGCACCCATGGCTGTCTCTCCAGCCACACACACACACACACACACACACACACACACACACACAATTCTCCTAGAAAATTAATACATTAGGCTGGGGTGATGCTGGGGTGAGCACAATGTTCGCTGTGCAATCAGTAACAAGAAGCTGAGTTCAGATCATCACCACCCACGTAAAAATCATGCATGCTGACATTCGGCTGTAGCCCCAGAACCGGGGGAGCAGAGACAGGCGGATCCTTGGAGCCCTGTGGCCATCCAGTCACTGTGGTGAACTCCGGGTGTAAAGAGAGACCCTGTCTCAAAAACAAAATAAGGTGGAGAACAACAGAAGAGGTCACTTGACATTGACCTCTGTCCTCCACACACATAAGCGTGGATAGGTATACCTGTGCACACACACACACACACACACACACACCCTCAACAATAAAACGAACATCTGTATCTTAACAGAGAAAAAACATCCTACGATGTTTTCCCTTTAATTCCAAAACAGCTTCTGATTTGAAGTAAAATTTGCTGATCCCTTTATACTTTTGGCCAAAGTGACCATGGGTATTAAAGTCCTCAGGAGATAGCTGGACCCAATGGTCTCAGGCTGACAAGGTCCCTTGGATCTGATGTCCCTGTCAGCCTTCTTGTTGACCACATCTGTCTCACAGCTTACACTGATCAAAGCATCTACAATGTGCCATGTGTGCCCTCTCATCCGCGATGATGTCCCATAGTGGAAGCATTAATCCTTGGATGTTCTTTTTCCTTCCAGGTGATCCCCACCTAGTCACGCATGGGGCCTTTTTGCAAACCATTCAAACCACTTGCATGACATTGCAGATCATGTAGTCCATGCCAAAAGTGGTCCCATCAAGGGGGGAAGAGAGCTGATGCCAAGGAGACCTTGTCCTGGGATTGCTCCCATGGTTTTTGTGGCCTGACCGTAACTGAAGTGACATCACAAATCTCTGACCGTCTGTAAGTTCTAACTATCTAACTGGTTTGGAGGGAAACAGGTCACTGTACCTCCCCAGAGTCCAGATACAGCAAACCCACTACAGGCAAGAAACCAGCAAAGCCTAAAATGGAACCAGACAACAGGAATACATGACACCAAAGATGGGTCAGACCCTCACAGAGAAGGACTCAGTATACAGCAAGGAGGATTAAAACGGGCTCAGGGTCAAGCTCCAGGAGACAGGGGGCCCTGGTCTCCTGTGTCACGTGGAAAGCCTTTCTTCTGAGTCAGAAACTCCAAAGAAAAGAAACCCTAAACAAAGGAGAAAAGTTCTTGCCTTTTGGGTTCCTATTTTTTCCCAGTAATGGACACAATACGTAAAAGTTGCTTCCGTTGTCACATCAAAGGGAGGGGAGAAGTGGATGATGAGGGAGCGTTCTCCTGGGGTCACCGAGATGTTTTTTGGAGGCCCAACAGTAACTGAAATAGAATTACAAACAAAAACTCACATGAATAACATACAGACACTCGAGATACATACCCATGTAGATGGTGCATATGCGTACTATGTATCTACAGACTGCACCATCTACTTCTGTATGTTTGGGTACACACACGTTTATACTTAGATAAGCAACGGCTTGTACTCATTTGAGTGCCTGCTCCGAATGTGCTGTTTACTGAGAAGCCAACATCCAAGTGGAAGGAACACCCCTGCGATCCCACATGTAGCCCCAAAACGGCTTCCGGCAGGTGCGGGATTCACCCCGCTGACACCCTCTGAGCTGCTTCTATCAGTACCACATGGAAGTTGTTTCCTGGCTCCCACCAGGGAGGGAGAGGCCGAGCTACAAGAATCTGCACTTGGCACATCTCAGGGCTGTGGCCTAGCATGGTTCTACAGGACTACAGTAGCTGAGGTGCTGACTCTCAGCAGGAAGTCATTTGGGAGTAAGCAAAGCTTCCAGAATCATGGCTAGCATCCGAATCCCAGACAGATAGGGCAGGAAGTTAAGTCAGAGGTCAAGTTTTCACCCAGAGTGGGAAGAGCTGTGTAAGACTTTACGTATGCAGAGAAAACGGTAGATCTGGAAAGCACAGCACTAAGTGAAGGACCCAAACTCAGAAAGAAAAAGCATGCATGTTCTCCCTCACATGAAGATCCTAGTCTATAGTGTTTGTGTGTGCGTGTGTAAGCAAAACAGACCGAGTGTGGGTGTAGTGTAACACTGCTCCATCACTGGGTTCTCTTTTACTGTTGGTTTTTGAGAGGGGGTTTCTTTGTGCAGCCCTGGCTATCCTGGGACTCATTGTGGAGACCAGGCTGGCCCTGAACTCACAGAGATTCTCCTGCCTCTGCCTCCCAAGTGCTGGGATTAAAGTCGTGCGCCACCCTTATCCCAGCTCACTTTTCAATAAACTGAGTTTAACAGTTCTGGATTTTTTTGGGGGGGGGGAATTTTTATTTAGTTAGTTGAATTTATTTACTTATTTTCACTTAAAATTTTTTATTATATTTTTGTGTTGTTACGGTAGTACAATAAAATATGCCATGCTACCCAGGATCTTTAAAAAAACCTAGCCCAGCTGGACGGTGGTGACACACGCCTTTAGTCCTAGCACTCAGAAGGCAGAAGCAGGTGGGTCTCTGAGTTCAAGGCCAGCCTGGTCTACAGTGTGAGTTCCAGGATGGCCAGGGCGGTTACACAGAGAAACTCTGTCTTGAAAACCAAAAGAACAAAACAACAATAAAAAGCTAGCCCAGATAAATAACTCTGTTTAATACAGCATCAACTATCTAGACAGTGGTCACATAGCTAATTGTCTTATACCTGGATTTCGTGTGTGTGTGTGTATGTGTGCGCGTGTGTGCACACTCAAGTGTGTAAGTATGCACATATGCCTGTGTGTTTGTGCCTGTGACAGCAGGAAGTTGATAGCAGGACTCATGCTTGATCACCCCTTCTTCACTGTTAGCTTTCTCTGAGGACCCCACCTGGGGATCCCACCTCCACCTTCAAAGGCAGGAATAACAAGCAGAGGTGGGACCCATGCCCTTGGCGACTGTGTGGGTGTCAGTGTGCCGGATCAGGAAGGGTGACGAGAACCGACACACACAGGCGGGTGCCCTCTCAGTAGGGTGGGTGGGGACTGTCCTTCAGCACCTGTCCAGCAGATCCCTGTTCTCCAGACCCACAGCAAAGAGAACAAAAAAGGGGTGCAGCTGACTCCCAGTGAAACAGTATTTACAGTAGCCAGGAGGTAGGTCCAGTTTGGAGCCTGGTGCGGCAAATCACCTTCCTTTAGCATCAGCCTCCAGGGCCAGCAGTCTCATGACCCTACCCATTTGTCTTCCACTTACTTAGGATGAGGGCCAGGACCAAGGCCTAGGGCAGGTTCAACACTGCTCACTGAAGAGGCACTGAAAAGAAAACCTGGGCACCATAGAGCATTTCTTTTTAAAGATATATTTAATCCTTTTACTTTTTTCATTTCTATGTAGGTGCGTGGGTGCCCAAGGAGGCCAGAAAAGGGTGCTGGATTTTGTTCTTTTAAAAGAATATGTTATAATGGCCCGGGCAGCCTGCAAGCCAGGCAGAAGCTGCCGCCGGAGCAGTACAGGGTCCCTGGGCGAGCGGCAGAGTCAGGCGGCTGGATACGGTGAATGGCAAAGTAAATGGACATAAGGCTATATATAAAGCTAGACATTTATTACTTAAAAAGGGGAGATATAGACAAACATAAAACAAAGACATACACACACACATACACACACGCGCGTGCACGTACCCACACACACACACACATGCGAGAGAAAAAGAGAGAGAGAGAGAGAGAGAGAGAGAGATGGCGGCGAGGGGAGGGTCGAAGTGGCTGAGGTGGGCGTGGTTAGTTCTTAAAGTGATAGCAAAGAATAACACTGGATGCCCTGGAGCTGGAGTTTAAAGCAGTTGTGAGCTCTCCATTGTGGATGCTAGAAACTGAACTCCGGTCCTCTGCAGGAGCATCTCTCTAGAAACTGAACTCTGGTCCTGGTGTGGGAGAATTATCTGTATTCTGTCAATCATATTTTAATAAAACACTGATTGGCCAGGCAGGCAGTATAGACGGGAAAGTCAGACAGGAAGTAGAGGTGATGCAATGAGAACAGGAGAATTCTGGGAAGCAGGGAGGTTCCTCTGCCACTCCTGCGCAGACCACCGAACAGGCAGCATGTAACGTGCCCAGCTGAGAAAGGTATGGAGCCATTATGGCTAATGTAGATAAGGATAATGGGGTAACATAAGTTATAAGAGTTAACAAGAAGCCTGACCTAATGGGCCAATCAGTTTATAACCTTATGGACTCCTGTGTGTGATTTTCTTTGGGCTTGCCGGATGTGGGGTACTGGGTGGGACAGAAACCCCAACAAGCCAGCCCTCATGCTACATATGGCACCCACGTGGATAACTGAATCCACAGAAAGCCTGAGAAAGTTTGGGAAAGAATAGAGTAAAGCATGTTTTCTTGGTAGCAGCAATTTCTTGGGTCTGCTCTGCTTGCTAGAGGCAAGCAAGTGCTCTCATCTAAGAGAGGCTTCCTGACTCAGCTTTAGCTGCAAAACCTTGCAGCTCTTTTAAGAAGTCCTGCTGCGAAGCACTTAAACAGTGTTGATGAAAAGCTGAACGCATGCTTTTCGGTTTTCAGCCGGAGCAGGAAAAAAGCTGCGCTGTTTTAAAATGCTGGTTTTCTGGACTGTCCTGCCAGGGCAATCTCTGACTCTTGCAGGCAGGCAGTCCGACTGAGTGTGGTCTGTGAACAGAATGCTGTGTCTTGCTTGCTAGCAAGGACCTTGAAATGCCACAGAGTTGTGGCAATAAAAATGGCTTCAGCAGTACCTCTGCCATGAGGCTGGAAAGCTAAGGAATGGCCTAGATCCAGCCGTCAAAGCCACGGTTTTAGGCTCATGTGGTCAGAAAAAGAGAGATATACAGTAAAGAGAGATTCAAAGACGAAGAAAACCTCTAAATGGTTTACAGTGTGTTAAAAATATATGCAGGCTAAAAGGTTAAAGTCATTAAAAATAAAAAAAAAGAAAGGGAGATAGGGAGATATAGGGTGTGGTGGTACACACCTTTAATCCCAATGCCTGGGAGGCAGAGGCATATTGACCTCTGTGACTTCAAGGGACAGAGGTAGAGATTGACCTCTGTGACTTCAAGGTGTGGTAGCACACGCCTTTAATCCCAATGCCTGGGAGACAGAGACAGACAGATCTCTGTGAGTTCAAGGTGTGGTAGCATACACCTTTGAGCCCAGCACTGGGGAGGCAGAGACAGAGGAATCTCTGTGAGTTCAAGGACAGCCTGGTCTACAGAGTTATTCCAGGACAAAGATATATACAGAGAACCTGTCTCAAAAAGCCAAAAGTAAAAGTAAAAATAAAAGAAATAGAGGTTAAAATAAAGCTGCATAAAGATGGAAAATATACAGAGAATCTTGATACTGTATGCTATTATGCTCTCTTTGAATTGTTTGATTGCTGAGGAAGGAGCAACAGCTGCTAAAGGACTGTTGTTTATAAATACTGCTGAACTAACCCAAGATAGGTATTTTGAAAATACCTTGGCTTCAAAACTGAAGTCAAAAGGTATGTTAGTTTGGAGAAGAGATTTTGCTTTTGTTTCCACAGAAAATGAGAGGCTCTGGATTTATTCAGAGTTAAGAAAAATCATCTTTGGCCAAGGGAGACCACCTGAGCAATCTCCGGTAGGAACAGATGGCCCAGATGTCTGAGTTCTACATCCAGAATGGATTCAAGGCTCAAGACTCACAGGATACTCCAGTCAGGACTTGATTATAACTCTAAATTTTCTTTAGGTCCCCATAAGATCATCAGCGCCCCCAACCAGCAGGAAGTAGCCTGAAATACTACGCCCACATTCCCAACAAATGGACTATGGGTATTTTCCTTTGTTTAAAAAAAAAAGAGGGAAATGGTGCAGGAGAATTATCTGTATTCTATCAATCATGTATTTTAATAAAACGCTGATTGGCCAGGCAGGAAGTATAGGCGGGTCAACCAGACAGGAAGTAGAGGCAGGGCAATGAGAATAGAATAAGGCTACGGAGGAGGAAGGTCCCTCCGCCATTCCTGTGCAGACCACCAAAGAGGCAGCATGTAACTTGCCCAGCTGAGAAAGGTACGGAGCCATGTGGCTAATATAGATAAGGATAATGGGGTAACATAAGTTATAAGAGTTAACAAGAAGCCTGACCTAATGGGTCAATCAGTTTATAACCTTATGGAGTCCTGCATGTGATTTCTCTTTGGGATTTGCCGGCTGTGGGGTACCGGGCTGGACGGAAACCCCAACAAGCCGGCCCCCTCATACTGCACGGTCCTCTGCAGGAGCATCTCTCTAGCCCCTGTAAGGTGTCTCCCCAAGTCCTCTCACCATCGCAATAGTGCGTGAACTGGCTCAAGGTGACCCACTCAGAAGTGAGGCTTCCTTGCTTGGCTCGAACTCGCAAGTAAACTTGGCGTAAACCTGTGAAACTGTTCAAGCCGCCACCTCCTGTGAAGTCACACTTCGTCTCTGTGATGTCCGTACAATTCACGTCCTTGACTTTATTCCAAGAGCCAGAAATGCTGGGAAAGAAAACAAGATTTCAATCCACCGTTCTTCAGAAACATTGTTTTCCACAAAATAGCCACAATCATTTCTCCTTTTGGCAAAGGTCAGGTATACTGTTTACTAAGGATTAGTTCCTATGCCGTCCCTACTTAGATTTACTCAACACAATGATTTTAGGGTAGTCAGCTACCACTATGGTCAAATTTTAAAATATGTTGCTATCCCCCACACCAAAAAACAAAACAAACCAAAAAAACAAACAAACAAACAAACAAAAAACCCACCCCACCTGGTATCCATTGATAAGAATGCTCCATTTTTCCTCAACCTGGTGCCCCAGTCACAGGCGACAACTGATGTACTCTCTGTCTCCACAGGTTCCCTCATTCTGAATGGAACCATATCATGTGGCTACCCATGACAGGCCTATTCATGCTATAGAATGTAACAGGTTTTTTTTTTTTTTAAAAAAATTCTGTTTTATTTTTATGTGCTTTTGAGCGTTCATGTATTCCGTCTGCATCCAGGTGCCCGAGGAGGGGCAGAAAAGGGGATTGGATCCCCTGGAACTGGAGTTACGGCCAGCTGTGAGCTGCCATTTGGGTGTTAGGAGCACTGAGCTATCTCTCTAGCCCCATGTATAAGTTCTTTACATTTTACATCTATTTCTGTGTGTATGTGTACCACAGCACACATGGAAGTCAGAGGACAACATGTGTAGAACAGTTCTCGGTTTCACTCTGTGGGTCCCAGGGACTTGAACCCAGGTTCTCAGGCTTGGCAGTAAGGGCCTTTCCCTAAGCTATCTCTCTGGTCCGTGTATCAGTTCTTTATTTCTCCCCCAACCCCAAACCCCCACTGAAACCTGGTATGCTGGCCCACACCAGGAGTTCTAGTTTCTCTTTTCTTCCTTCCTTCCTTTTTTTTTTGGGGGGGGGTTGTTGTTTTGTTTTGTTTTGTTTTTCGAGACAGGGTTTCTCTGTAGGTTTGGGCCTGTCCTGGAACTTGCTCTGTAGAACCTTGAACTCACAGAGATCCGCCTGCCTCTGCCACTTGAATGCTGGGATTAAAGGTGTGTGCCACCACCACCGTCTGGCAAGAATTCTAGTTTTCTAGAGGCCATGACACACGGATTATGAACTTGAGGTCAGCCTGGGTTACATGAGTTTCAGACCAGTCTGCAACACATAGGGAGACCCTGTCTTCAAAAGTAGGACGAGGAGGGGGAGTAAGAAGCAAGAAAAAAAGAGAGAAAGGAAAAAAAAAAGGTCCCTTTGGACCACACTTTGGGGGAACACACTTTGTCTATATGTCTGTGAGCTGGTAGGCATGTTGTTGTCTATACGTCTGCCATTTTGAAATGTCTGACCAGGGTTCCCAAGGGAGCTTCATGTACACATGAGCTTCCCAGGGCCTCAGAGCCTAGGAAGAGAAGGATCCTGAACAACAGGAACCCCCGCTCAGAACAAGCACTTTCTAGCCTCCAGTCTGCCAATCCCATTCCGCCAGCGGCTGAATTTGGAGGAGCAGGCCCTATATCTCACATTCCCTG